AGTTTTTTGACCGATTTAACGTCGAGTGCCGTTAAAAACGCTAAATAAAGCCTAAAAACGTTTAAAATTATGAAATTTGTGAGCAAAGCCAGGTGTACTCACCCGTACTCATGTACTCATGTGTACAGCAGAACGCTGAGTGATTCACCCCTCGGTATTTTCGGAATGAGGGCGAAGAGACAAATGAAATGGGCATATTCTAAGGACAGTTGGAGTAAAAAGTGTAAGGACTATTGCATATTGTGAATAGAAAGGCGGGCCTAAGTCACGATGGTACATCCCGCGCGGGAGAATCTGCAGTCTGAATTGTACCCAGGAACTGATGTCACACTATGCTTTTAAGTGAACAAGGAGGGTAGTTGTAGTGTGGCTCAATTGTTCTGAAAGTGTTCACAGATGTGCTATTTTGTGTGTAGAATGAAGTATGCATCGGGCATAGTCTAACTGCAGATGACCGGCTGCAGTTCGAGTACGGTTAAAATACAGTTTAAGTACACTTAACTGTACTTGAACTGTGCTCTAACTGCCGAAAAACTAGTAGTTTTTTAGGACCTTTTCAGTTTCAACTGCAGTTTTGCGGACAGTTCACGACAGTTTTGACAAAAATACGGTTTTGCCATAAAAATTCAAAATTTTTGATTTCCAGCCTTATGTTGCCTCCCTCCCTCCCACTCTCTCCCTTTTTTTTTTTTTTTTTAGTCGTTGAAGTCTGTCAGTCAGTAGTCGAACCCGGGCCTCAGGGTTGTCAGACCGCAACGCTGCCAACTGCGCTACGGAGTCGTGTGAGGGTCTGGCGCCAGCGCGGGCGATGCCACTGGCCATGCCCGCGCGCTCAGGTAGACGAGGGATTACCGCCACTCCGCGCTCGGCGCGCTCCACTCCACGAGGAATTTTCCCGTCATTTGCCGAGACAAGCTGATCTGGAAGCAGTGCCGAGCTTCACTCGGCGAAATTTAGAACATTAGAATCATTCCAAGGCCGTGACGTGAAAGGGCATTCAGGGTGAAGTTGGAAGTACTCTTTGACTTCTACAGCAATAAACTTTAATTGTAGTTTTTGACTGCATTCCCAATTGACCCCGGGAATGCATATGTCATACACTTTTTTTTACTCTCCATGTGTAAGCAAAGAGCAAATTAGAAGTATATTTGTAACGGCATTTGGATTTGGAAATAAGTTGAACTTTGACTGTCGTTTGAACTACATTCTGGACTGCCAAAGCAGACTGCAGTTGGATCTGGCAACAAAAATGCAGTTGAAGGACAGTTTCTGTGCACTTGAAAGCACAAAATTGACTGCAGCCAGCAATACAGAACTGATGGCACTTTAAATGCAATTTAAGGGCAGAAAAGAACTGCAGAAAGGAACTGCAGATGAGCCACTGCAGTTTCAAATACAGTTTGACTACTGATCCTTTCGCGCGGGATCGATAACTTTGCTTTACCCGCTCACGGTGTGTGTGATGCGAGCGGGCCGAAGGCCCGGGTCTTCGACTGGCCAGGTTGGGTCTGATGCAAGGGCCGAAGGCCCGAGAAAAGGCCGCCGGCAGGCCAAGCTGGGCCGGCCCCCTGTCGAACCGAGTTGCCGGCGCAGCGAAGCGGAGCTGGCAACTCGGTTCGACGGAAGGGCGGGCCCTAGCTTGTTAGGCTGTGGAGGAGCTCATTTTTGAGAAAAACGACCATGTGTGCATAGACTATGTGTCTTTATAGTAGCCTCTAGGAATTTCACTTACATGTCACCCATAATTGTCTAAATATATGCATCTGGAGCTTGATATTCGCCAAAAGTCGAAAAAATCGTTAAAAAGTGCCCCTTTTGGCCCGCCCTTCTATTCAAAAAATAGGGGGAGGGCCTATGCATTTGCCTTTGTGTCTGTGTGTTGTTGTTGTTGTTGTTGGCGTCTGTGTACAAGGAAGGAGTTGAGCTAGAGTAACCAGATTTGGAGGGTACTTCAGGAGTACCGTCCAAACAAATAATCCGGTAGTGCAAATCCCGTCCGGGTCGCACAAGGGCTGCTGCAGGTGCATCATGGTTTACATGAGCGGGAGGGGGATTTCCGCCATTATTGGTGCTAGCAGGACACATCGGGGTATTTTTGGACCGCCCTTCTATTCAAAAAATAGGGGGAGGGCCTATGCATTTGCCTTTGTGTCTGTGTGTTGTTGTTGTTGTTGTTGTTGTTGTTGTTGTTGGCGTCTGTGTACAAGAAAGGAGTTGAGCTACAGTAACCAGATTTGGAGGGTACTTCAGGATTACCGTCCAATCAAATAATCTGGTGGTGCAAATCCCGTCCGGGTCGCACAAGGGCTGCTGCAGGTGCATCATGGTTTACATGAGCGGGAGGGGGATTTCCGCCATTATTGGTGCTAGCAGGACACATAGGGGTATTTTTGGAATTGGGGCGACGAGACAAGATGAATGGACCTGGTCCCGACCCTATCGGCCGCTTTTACAAGTTGGCCAGATCAGGATCTTCGAAAAAGGGGGTCGACCGACTAAAAAATTTTATTGCAGATTTCGATTGGTCTCAGCAAGACCTTTTCAACGAGGGGTCAGAAAGGGGGTCCAGGAGCCCTACTTCGTCTATTAGTCACATCAGGATCTTGAAAAAAGGGGATCGACCGACTGAAAATTTTTACTTAAGTTTTCGATAGGTCTTGGCAAGACCTCTTCAACGAGGGGTCGGAAGGGGGGTCTAGGAGCCCGCCTTCATGAGTTATGGGAAAAAGTGCGACAGACTCGTTTTGCGCTCCTGCTGTGCCTCTATTGCAAGGAGTTGCAGTAGCATGGCAAATATGGGTATTTTCGGAATAAGGGCGAAGAGACAAATGAAATGGGCATATTCTAAGGAGAGTTGGAGTAAAAAGTGTAAGGACTATTGCATATTGTGAATAGAAGGGCGGGCCTAAGTCACGATGGTACATCGATAACTTCGCTTTACCCGCCCACGGTGTGTGTGTGATGCGAGCGGGCCGAAGGCCCGGGCCTTCAACTGCCAAGTTGGGTCTGATGCGAGGGCCGAAGGCCCGAGAAAAGGCCGCCGGCGGGCCAAGCTGGGCCGGCCCCCTGTCGAACCGAGTTGCCGGCGCAGCGAAGCGGAGCTGGCAACTCGGTTCGACGGAAGGGCGGGCCCTAGCTTGTTAAATTCGTCATCTCTTTTCATAAGCTCTAATTCTCAAAGATGAACCTTCATTAATAGAAATTAAAATACTATGATTTCCCTTGACAGTCAAAATTAATTTTTAAGTGTTGTTCTTTCTCCTTCTGTCTCTCTTTAGGCTAAAACATCTCGTGTCCTGGAAGCTGTTTACCATCCGAATACTGGGCCTTCACAACTCGGGATCGTCTTTAACTGAGAGACCCCATTCAAGACGGCTGTGACTCCTTGCTTTCGTTTCATGAATTTTAAATTTAGTAATATAATTTCTACTAACTTTAAATGTATGGCATTGTTTATTTCCAAACATACTGCTAAAGGAATACTCGCAAGGTAGATTTGAATGCTTTCAATGATGTCAAGTTTCAATTATATTTTCCCTGCATCCATCAAATCTCAGAACTTGTAGGGCAGCGGTAGCAATTGGTTCTTACTTGAGGGCAAGGATGATATGATACCATGATGGAAACAATTGTTAATGAGTATTTATTCTGGATGTTAATATACAGATTTCTTTACAAATATAATCTATGTATCAAAGTACAGATGTTAAAATAAGGTAGCAAAGACAGCACTTAAATTTTAAAAGGAACATAAACAAGAAAATACTTGTGGGTAGGTAATAATGTGGGAAAAATAGTTTAACATAAAATTACTTACTGCAAATCAGAGATATTCTGGTTGGTTATTTGCAGTTAGAATGACATATTCCACTCCTTCATACTTCATGTTCATTGGTTTTAAAACATTGCAATTTCCTGTGATGTCTATTGCTTCAATATTAGCCACTTTTTCACACTTTACTTCATATGCATTCAGATCGACACAGTAGGCAATTGTGTTGAGTTCCCTGTACAAAATGACATACCTTTCATGAATGCAGAAAATGTCAACCACAGTGGCAAACTTTGGAAGTATGTTGTTTGCTGATTTTGGCGCAATCAATAATGTGTCACCCTCAGCAAAAACCGTCCCAAACCACTTCAAACTTGCTAATTGAATAGTTTCGCAATCTTCCACCAGTTTCAGGCAAGCAGTTATCTTCATCTCATGTGGAACTTGGGACGATTTCATCTTCTCCTTGACCTGTGGCTTCACAACTGAGTGGGTCAGGTAGTTGGCTTTGTTCTGGTACATCTTGAATGCTTGCAGAGCACACATGCGTGTGATTAAGGAAAGATAAATTCTTAGCATTGTGGAGGACTTTTGCCAATCGTTTCAGGGTAGCGTGGAAAGCTTCAAACCGCATGTCCCACTGTTCCGTAAAAATAGAAAAAAGGACAAGCTGAGTTGGTAGATGAATTAAAAAATGATGTTTGGCTGTGAATTTACCAGGATACAGGATAACAAACTTCATCAAGTACTGCTTGATCATCCTTTTCAAAAGAGGCGCATGACCTATTATTAGCTCATGGGACAAGCACAAACTTAGTATCATCAGCAGTAAAATGAAGTTTTGTAGACGATCAGGCTCACAGCACTTCCTTAAAAGAAACGGCAGCACACAACTTAGCATCAGAATTTGAGAGGAAGTTTGGCGTAGCCCATTCTTGAGATGCTGGGGTTCAATTGGTGAGGGTCTTCCAGTTGGCAAATCTTTCAGATAGTTATTCACATCAGGAAGAGATATTTTCTTGGATGATACAGCATGATCGAGTAACAGTCTGCACTCAGTCTCCAGAATTCCTTCGGAAAACAAGTGCATGATGTCTTGAGGGAGACATTGCGTAACATCAAAATAGTTGACTTGAAGCAGAGGACTTCTGAAGTTGACTCCAAACTTGACAGTGGGTTTTTCATGTTGTTGTCTCTCTTCCTCTTCACTTTCTTCAAAGTTGTTATTCCCCTCCAAGGCATCAAGCTGCTGTAGGTGCGTATCAGCAGAGCGCAGGACAACTTGAGATTCCTCAAACTTCTCACTCTTTTCACCTTGAGTAACCATGCACTGTCTGCAGAACCTCAAGGCAAATGAGGCAGACTCCTTAAAGCCGCCAATGTTTGCCAAGGCTGGGTAGTCTCCTATTACAAATAACAAAAACCCATGTAAAACTCTTGGAACCCCATTGATGTTGAACGTGACTCCCTCTTCACTGCTCAATTTGTTGATGCCTTCAATGAAGTTTTTCAGAATGGACGCATTCTTCACTTCCTTAGCATGATTTGCATTCGAGAGAGCAAGTAGCTGGATAGCTCGTACTGAGGATCTGACCTCGGGATAAATATTGGCAAGTGACCACAGGTAATTTCTCAACCCAAGACTTGTAAAGGACGACAAAGAATCTCCGGCTTTGATATCATCCAAGTAAAATATTATTGCTAGCGCTGGGGTGCTTTTGTACAACCGGATGATTTTGGTATACATAACCATCTAAAGCAGATTTGAAGATACTTGATGGAGGCTTGGGGTTGTCCACACAATTTAAGATATCCTTACATTGAAGAATCGATTCTAACTGTTTTAAGAAGTCCACATAATACCCAAACTTAGCAGGAACCTGCCGAACCTTGCCATGAAGCAGTATTTTCTTCCAAGCATATACAACTTGTTCAGGAACCAGAGCATCCCAGTTGGCGCGTTGATATTTTTCCAGCCTGTATTTGGTTTGGACACCCTCAAAAATGGTTTGTTGATTCATGTAAGCGAAGAGTGATTCTATATCCTGTTTCTTCACTAAGTCAGTCTCTGAGAGTTCAAAAATGCGGGCCTGAAAAAATGAGACAAGAAAGAAAAAGTTAAAATTAAGAGAAAAAAAAAATACTCAGTAAGAAAACTATGGGGCCAAACCTTGAGAAATTTGTTGTAAAGGTGAAACAGATCATCAACTCCCCTCACAACATTGTCTATTGTAACTTGAGTAGTAACACATTCCTGTTTGATAAATGTCAGAAATTCAGCTGCTCTTTGCTGAATCTTAACAGCATATCCATGCGATTCACCTAAAGAACAAACGATGTGAATTATTCAAAAAAAAAAAAAACATTTGCAAATAAAGTATAGGATATGCTTCCCTTCAAGACGCTTAAATGTAATTCTACCAAACAAGAGAGACCGTTTTCAACTAAAGTAAAATTTAAAATTCTAGCTGTGCTGCATCAAGCACTAGAACATTGGAGCAACAAGAACTTTTTTTACTGCTCACCTGTTGCTTCACCCGATGCATCAACAACATTGATATCGTTCTCAGATAACTCATCTCCAGCTAGTACTTCCTCCAGATCACTGATCTCACTGTCCTCACTGTCTGATGCCATTGGATCATTTAGCCTCCCTGAAATGTTCATAAACATTAGATAAATTGACGACAGTTGCAGCGCCCCGAGCGATGATTGATCAGAGCGATGACGGCACGGCCAGCCAGCAGGAACAACTGGATCGCGAATGGTTTCAGCAAACGCACATCACGCACCTTGAATTGAAACGAAAAGTAGGCAGGATAGCAAAATGGCTAGAACTGTAGAGGACAGACGCATGGTCACGGCCACACGGCCACACGGCCACAGCCACGACCGACAGACAAGGCCTCCAGCACAGAGCGACACAGCACGCCTCCAGAGACAGGCACACTGCAAGAGCAGAGGGTGAGGGGGTGAGGGTGGAGCTAGGTGGAGCGAACGGGGACGGGTGGGGAGGAGGGGTAAGGGGATGGGGGTTGAGATGCAGACACACTTACCAACAGAACGAAGAATTTTGCCATTCGACATAAAATAAGAAATGTAAAGAAGGTTTCGAAAGAAAATACGATAATGTGTGGTGTACCGATATATAATAAAGCTGTGAAGCGACATGGTTTGCAAACATTTTGTTTTTAAAATCAATAGTTTCATAAGGAAAGGTCCTATTTCATATGTTGGCAGATCTGGAGAGCACGTTGGCGGTTGAATTGATCCTTTACCGTTCGTTGCAAGATTTCGTAAATTCGCCTTGAACGTTCCAATAAGTTACTTGAAACCATAGTTTTAGATTAATCAATGCGTTTGACGACATGGCAGCTGCAAAACACCTTTATCGGAAATGGGAAGAATCGCGGGAGGTAGGCCAATTTCTAAACAATAACAAAAAGAGTCTGGCTGCACTGTTCTTTCAACTTTGTCATGCACTTCAATTGACAGGATCAAGATAATGCAATTGCTGATGAAAGAAGTCCCTCTCCTGATCATCAAGATGTTGATTTAGAAGCAAGAGAGATGAGTTTTATAAATAACAGTGCTGCTCTAGAACATGAACTGTGAGTATCTACAGTCATTCCCTATAACTGTAAACAAAGTAGAGTGGGTTTAACTCTTTTGGTGTTGAATTTATTGTAAGTGTGGCAGGTATTTTGATTGAATTGTCATCAAAATTTTCTATTTCTAGTTTACTTGATGAAGATGCAGACCAAGAGGACTGGTCTGACATTTCTGTGTACTTTGCTGATGATGAATGGAGAACAATGCCTGCAGTTGAGAGGGCAAAATATAGAACAATGGAGGAGCGTTACGAGCACATGATGCAAAATTGTAAGTTGTATTTTCCAATTTTATTGTCTTAGGACTCACTCTTACATCGAAAGTCTAATTTTCCCCTTTCCCTATGTTATGTGCCATGAATAGTTGTACCTGTCAAACCACCATATTTCATGGTCCCCGCTGCTGTAGCACAGCCTACTCAAAGAAGACCACACACTGATAAAAATTTTGTAGTAACTTAGCGACACATTTGTCGCTAATTTTTTTAACGACAAGATTTGTTGTGGAACGAATAGCTTGTCAAACCATAGTCGTACAGGAACTAAAGGATAATTTCACAACGACTAACTTGTAATAACACATCAACAGTCCACTTTCAAAAACAAGTCGTTGACCAACAACAAATGTTGTAAGTCAACGACAAGTATTATAAGTCGAAAAAGATTTTGTTATGTCTGCGACAAGTACTCATGGAGAACTTTTGTCGCTAAATTTATTTTGCATGGTTCTTTTTTTATCAATAGTAATTTCACTATGACTGGGCGAACAAATTAGATGAATTTTCATAATTCGCTTTAATTGAGCAGATACAGTACATCCCGCCTATAACGTTGCGGTCCACTTGCGCGGATTCGCAACGTTATAGGCGGGAAACGTTATTAGCGGGTATCAATTAAAACCGTTCTTTTCAAGTGTAAAACGACCCCCCGAGTCAGTCTAGAGATAAATAACCCATATTCAAGCTTTTGTGGGGCTAATTGTTAGTTCTTTAGATAAATTTGGCTATTAAAGACGTGGGGAGTTAAAGGACCTGCTGGAAAGCAAACATAACAGGAAATGCATTGATTGATTGATGTATGTACTGATACTTAGTGAAAATTAAAAAAAGAGACAACTTATTTTTGAAAAAAATGGTTTAATTACAGGTTTGGTTTCTAATTAGGTAACTAAAATCATATATTATTAGTTAAAACATAAAATTGGTGCACATGCTGTTGCATGCTGTTACAAGGACTTGAAATAATCATCAATTGTAGTTTGTTTTTTCTTTTGAGATGTCAAAAGAAAGGTTTCTAAACGGCTCACGAGGGCCATCATTTCCTCAGGTAGGTCCTGCTGTTGACAGAGGTACCGCTTAAGCCCCTCCAGCCTTTCCAAGCCCTCGGCCATTGTCAGAGGGCGGGGCGGCTCCACGTCGTCTCCGTCTTCCTCCTCCTCGCCGTCGATCACGTTGGGCTCCTCCGTGACTGGGCGCAGCGCGATCTGCTCCTCGGCAAACCTTTCCGCAGTCCATACTTCGCTGACAGGCGGGTCATCGTCCGCGGCCACGTACAGGTGGAAAGAAACCCCGGCTTCCAGACCGAGCATCCGACAGACGTCGTCCCATCTAAATCAAGGATACACAAGCATTAGACACTACCCTTGGAATTCGAGACATGCTGGTTGAATTTATTTGAACTTACTGGTCCTTGATAGAGCTGTCGATAGGGATTGGCTCGTCGGTGTCCTCCTCTTCAATGTCATTGCCACCAGCGTTGGACCGGTCGTCCTCGGCGCCGTCCTCATCGCCGTCCTCGGCGACGTCCTCATCGCCGTCCTCGCCGCCGTCCTCGGACTCACCGGCGTCCTCGGCCACTTCTTCGGCGGTCGCTTGCTGCCCGCGGTCAACCTCCATCGCCTCGTCCTCATCACGGTCGTCATCAAGCTCGTTCTCCTCGTCTTCAGGCTCATTGTCGTCCTCTTCTTCCGAGCTGTCTTCTGAGCTGGTCTCCATGGTCTCCAGCTCGTCGTCAACATCGTTGTTGGAGTCCGAGTCAGAGCAGCGCCGCACAGTGGGGCGAAACCGGAAAAAGTCGCACGTAAGTCCGATTTCGCCGTTTTTGTCCCAGAGGGATGGGGCCGACGTTTTTGAACTCAGAAAGGACCATTCTATACAGTTACGAACATTTTGTGCACCTCAAATAACTACTACTTGCCGTTTAGCGACCTCAAAGTAGAGCAATTTTGCGAGAAAATGATACATTTGGCGGGGGTCGGGTAAGAAAGGCTACTCCTATCGCTGTTGCAGAGCAAAATAACATGTTTTATATGTTTTTGGAAAGGCAAAAAATCAAGCAGTCCAGTACATTCATTGGAATCGGTTTCAAACGAAAAGTGTGGAAACTGCGGGTCTTCAAATGTTTGCGAAAATCGTCGTCTGCGACTTTTTTGACGAGGGATAAGTCGAGTTGCGAACATTTGCGAACCGGTCGGGCACCGTGGTGAGATATTATGGTGACCCCACTTTCATGTCCATTTCGTCCGGCGATGCCGTTCGATGCCGTTTTCCTTCAAATCGACGTCAAACATGCGACTTCGTCTCGCCGCGCCACACCGCCGCTACCGCACCGCGCCCTCGGGAGAGGACGGCAGAGGCGCTACGCGCGCTGGCTACTCCAGCCAGCTCTGCCAGACACTGTGCCACACCAGACATCGTTTTGGACTGCCACCGATAGTGATACAACTTCCGTGGTCATGCTGTTACGCCAAGACATGCAACGTTTCGCAGGCCTCGGGTGCAGCCAGTACCAATAGGCGGCACAAGAGGCGCGTTTGGTCGTCTCCTGGGTATATCTTTTGTCTTCTTATCTCCTCAGAAATGATTTTCACTACCAATGAAACCCTCAAATCTAAAGTTTTGCGAGAATTCAGCAATAAGGTTCGTTTTACCCCCCTTCACGCACCTGGCTCCGCCCATTAGGGTGCCTTTCACGATCAAATCTCGTCAGAAATGAATTCAGCGACCCCTAAATACACGATACACAAAATTTGGTGAAGAAAATAATTTCGTGCGACTTTTTCCGTTTTCGCCCCACTGTGCGCCGTGTATTGCGGCCTCCGCGAGCAGCACCGCGCCCACGTGAGCCTCGGCCTCGGGAGCCTCGACCGCCGCGGCCGCGACCGCCGCGGCCTCCCCGCCCACCGCGAGGGCCACGAGCAGCGCCTCGAGCACCGCGGGCACCACGGGCACCACGGGCACCTCGAGCGGCGCGAGCTGCGCCGCGTCCTCCGCGACCAAGGCCTCCAAGTGCACCGCGCTCAAGGTCAGCCGCCAGCTGTCTAGCCTCCGCACTCTCAGCGTCATCCACTGCATAATCTGCTTCGGTGAATTCCCTCACACCCGCCTTCTTGAAGCAATTGGCAATTGTTTCGGCCTTAACTTGATTCCAAGCCCACTAAAAAAAAAAAAATTCTTAGCACTTAACAGACAATTTTTATTGCACTGTCATTTCGATAGAAACTCACCTGAAGAAAGTGAAGAGCCTGGTAAACATTTACCAAGCAGTCTTTTCTTTCAACATTGGGTTTTCCAATGAGATTGCAGAGCCGCTGCACCAGGCGAGTTCGGTAGTAATGCTTCACATTTTTTATGATTCCTTTGTCACAGGGCTGGAGCTTTGATGTTGTGTTCTTTGGCAAGTAGACCATCTTGACATTTGACAGTTGGATTTGTTGAGGGTGCGAGGGGCAGTTGTCAAACAGCAGCACTATCTTCCTTTTCTGGATTCTCATTTTGTTGTTTAGCTTTTCTAGCCACCGGGTGCATTCGTCTGTTGTCATCCACGCATTAACTTGGTCGGAGTAATCACATGGCAGTGAGCGTATCTTTGCAAAACAACGAGGGTTTTTCGCTTTTCCAATCACTAACGGCCTCAATTTGTCCGTCCCATCAGCGTTGCAGCCCAGCAGGATGGTCAAGCGAGCCCTTGATTGCTTGTTGCCAGAGCTCTCTTCTGTTGAGAAGCACATTGTTCTATCAGGTAGGAGATTTAAAAAAAGTCCAAACTCGTCGGCATTGTAGATGTCTTTCAGTTCGTATCCTTTGAGAAGCGATGGGAGCACACGTCTTCGCCAAGCGTCAACAGTATCGTCGAAAACGTCGGCCGACTCACCCGACACCTTGCGGAAGAGGATTCGGTTGCGTCTTTTAAACCTGCTCAACCACCCTCCCGACCTTTCAGTGAAGTCAGTGATTCCAAGCCTGAGAGCAATTGTTTTTGCTTGGGTCTTGAGAAGTCTGGTATTCACAGGAATTTTCACAGGCATCGACCTGGCTTGGGTTATGAACTGCACCAGCGCTTTTTCTAATTCTGGGTATTTAGGAGCCTTCATGCGGTGTTGTTCAAGATTTCCCAGTGTTGCTGCATTCTCAATCTTCACCCGATCTTTGATTATTTGCTGCAAAGTTGTCACTGGCAAACCTAGGTCCTTGGCCAAGGCCTTCTTCGTCGTGTTGGGACGCTCATCAACTCTCTTCAAGATCTCCAGTTTCGCCGACACATTCAGCTTTCTTCGCTTGCCGGGCTCTTCAATGCCCTGTATTCCTTTCGACGGCATTTTCCCATTTACAGGACGCACAACACAAACACAAAAACAATAAACACAGCTTGCCGACGCGGACGACTGAGCCGAGCGAGGGTGGGAAAGCTGGCGAATGGAGGGGTGGGGGGCGCTCGCTGCCCGGCTCTCGACGCCCGGCCGATTCCTGGAACTGTGGCGTTGTTTTGACTTGTCGTGCCGCGCTGCCATGCGAGAATGGCACTAGGGAGGTGATAGCAGAAAGCCTTCTTTTTGCACTTGATATCGAGTACGACGGTCATTTTATTTAGAATAGTTGCTAACGACAGGTGTTTGCATCCAGCAGGTCCTCGAGGAGGGAAGGAAAGTTCGACATGCATGGAAGGGGAGAGGGGGGGGGGACATACTTCGATCGTAAAAAGAAACCTTGGAAATCAATAGTTAATCGTCTTTGCCAATTTTCGGATCGTTTAGACTCAATTTGACCCCAAAAAAAGAGGGCGAAATGCAGCCAAATTGCAACGTTACAGGCGGGAAAACGTTAAATGCGGGAAACGTTTAATGCGGGTGTATTTACTAGGGACTTGACTCGGGAATTTCGTTTTACAACGTTGTAGGCGGGAAAACGTATTAAGAGGGCAACGTTATAGGCGGGACACTGAGATTCCAAACGCTATGAGTATAGCACGTATGGTGCAATGCAGCTGAGGTATCGCACCATACGTGCAATGCGATAGCCATATTGCACCTTACGTGCGATGCGTCCCGAAAATGCCCTATGCTAATGCATGGGAATGGGGAGGTATTGCACTTCATGTGCAATGCTTTTGCATCGCACCAATTGACGCTATACATATAGCGTTTGGATTCTCAGTGGATGTACTGTAATTGCAAAAGATGTGGTTTCCACACAAATTGTATCGTTAAGGGTGATAACAAGAATATTGTTCTTCAACGACAAATTGTCGCTGACTTGAGTCAACGACAGTTGTTTCGCTTTGGTTCATGATGAAATTCTATGTTTTGGAACGACTAAATTTTCACTCATCTGGTTGTTTCTGTACAACCATTTTTTAACAGTGCAGACTCCTAGATCAGTTGGAACAGTAGAAATACGTAAGTAAAAGAACTATGATATAACGCGAGAAATCATGCAACATTCTAAAAACACAATTTATATTTGCCGTGAACAGGAGCTTCTCCAAGGAATGTGACCAAGAGAAACTACAGAGAAATTTCACCAAATAAAACTCCACCCAGAGTACGTCTTTCAGCTCAGAGCAATGTTCCAGAGAACAGTAATGAGGAAATGCCAAACTCTCCACGTTCTTCAAACAACAGGCCAACGCCTCCTGCATCAACAGCTGCTTCCACTGAAAGAGCAAGTGCTCCATCAACATCTTCAGGAAGAAGTCGTGGCGGGCGGATTCCTGAGAAGGTGAAAAGCCAAAATAATCTCAATTAGGCAACAGTTTCAATTTTTAAAAACTAATCAATTTCCTTAAAATTTTACAGATTCGGACATTAGATGAAAAGGTGTTTGGAATACCCAGCTTTGGTGGGAAGAGTTTAACAGAACTCTCCAAGAGAAGAATAAATATGAACATGCGCCCCATTTATCATGATTGCAAAGATTATATTCGAAGGAAATCAAGGGGGAGAGAGTATCTTGATAGGGAGGAATGGACTAACTTTGCAACAAAAGTTTGCGATGCCCATCCAAACCTCAATACTGAAGAAGAAAATTATTGGGTAAGTATATCAACAGTTATCCTTCTCATTATTTCAAATAATTGAATCAAATGTGGTCTAATACTTCCATTATTATAATTAGGAATCATTCAAGGTGGGTCTTCAGAAGTCCTTCAGTGCAGAGAGAAAGAACAACAAAAAGAAAGAAGCAATGGAAAGCACTCAAGAAACATTGGAAAATTCTGAAGACAGGTAAGTTTGCCTCCTCAATCATAGTAATATAACAGAATTACATCAATATTTCTGATACTACTTTTATTTCTGACAGTCCATCCATCATGCACCCGTTGGATTTTGAAGCACAAGATGCTACCAGAGAGCTCAAGAATAATTGTGATCGGAGAGCTATTAAAGAACTCCTAGAGAAATCTCACAGGTTCAGAAAGGAAGAGCGTAGCTCAAGGACACCTTCCGAGCTATTGCTAGAATATCCTTATTTGAAAGTGCCTGAAATGGTAAAAAATACTAGAAAACAATTTGGATTCATGTTTTGATTTTCTTGAAAAGTGCTTTCATGGACCCATGCTTTGCTTGCAGATGGTTTACGATTACCTCATTACTATTGGCATTAGGGTCAGTTGGGGTAATAATGGGACACTGGAAACTTGGGGAAAAATGGGACACTTTCTAAAGTTGACGAGTTTTGGCATTTTAAAACGTCCTACAATGACATGTTTGTGCTTAAAATGTTCATTGAGGTGTCTAGTATTCCATTTTTCATTCGGCGGGACAATGACTGCTCATAGAAATGAGAACTAAGAAATCAAGCAAAACATGGCAATTATGGGTTTTCTTAAGGTTGGAAAAATTTGCCGCAGAGGTCATCTAATTAGAACACTACAGAACCCCCCATAAACAGAAAAGTTAAGTATTATAGTGTGTTGGAAAGCTAAAAGAACGAGGATTTCGATCCACCAACTCATTTTGACATCAATGCATTCGTTAACTTGCAATTGTAGAATTTTCCTGTGGGGTAAAAATGGGACACCACTTTGGGGAAAAATGGGACACTCCTGGGGTAAAAATGGGACACTTGGTTAATGGTAAATTGTGGCCTTTGGGGAGAAAATTTCCAAAGTTGTTTGAATTGACATCTCTGAACGGAAATAGATAGGCCTCGACAATACAAACAAAAAATGTCAACACATGCTATGGGTTTGGACGGATATTTAAAAAGTTAATGGGCTTTGAAATTAACAAATAGTCGCAAAAGGTCAAATTGCACCCAAGTTCTTTTGAAGCGCAATGCCTCTTCATTATTCATCCGAACCGGTGGCATGTGATGACATTTATTGTTCCTCGTGTTGAGACGGATCGAATTTTATAAAGTGGTGTCTATTTGGAAAACTTTGAGGCCTGTTTTACCTCTGCTAAGCCCTTGTCCCATTTTTACCCCAGCGTGTCCCATTATTACCCCAAACTTACAAGTCCGAATTTTCACAGTTTATTTTACACAACTGCAAAATTAAATGACTTTTTGATCTTATTTTAACGCCAAATGGTGTGGAACAGAGTAGCCTATCCTTTAAAAGCATTAGAAACACTCCAACTCGCCATTGTTGAGTTGTGGAAACCTTATTATTCAAACTGTCCCATTATTACCCCAACTGACCCTATAGGCACAGACTCCGAAAGTGACATTTTGGAAATCATGATTAAGGTCCACGAGTTTTTTTTGTCCAAAGCTGTCAAAAAAGGTTTAAAAGCTGTATTTATTGTTAAGGAAGTAAGCATTTGAGCATGTTTATCCTCCATCTGAAATCAGTATTTTATTTCTGAATTTATTTCCCTTTGTTTGCCAACAGGAGGAGAGACAAAGTCTTAGTGCAATGGAGTCAAGCAATATTCAGGCGCCCTTCATTGTGGTACTAAAAAAACTTAACTTTGTCACAGGCGTTACTGAGATCAGAAGTGCGAGCCTGCTCATGGCCAACAATCTAGTGTCCTCTCTTCAAAAGCCCAGTGTGGACAAAATCATGCTGTTCTTGCTGGCAGCTTATGTAACATTGAATGCTGAATATCCATCCCCATACCAGCAGTTTATGAGGGCTCTAGAGAAATTATTCACTGGAAAGGCTCAGCCATCTAAATTTGGTAGGACACAGGTACAATATGACAGGCTAATGTCCCTAATTAAGAAAAAAAATAATGAAACCTTCCTAACATAAGTGAAGGATATGAATTCACTCATTTCCGATAAAGTTTATTCCCAAACAGAGAGACAAAAGTATTTTCTCAAAAAATTGATCTACAATGAACTTTTCTTGAATGACTAGATGATTTTATTTTTTTTAACAAAGTTAAGTTGTTATTTTAAATCACTATTAGAGAACCATGTTCTTAGAAATATTTTTCAATGTAAATTATGGAAGTAGCTTTCAAATAAACAACAAATATTTTGTTAAGTTTTTTGATTTATAGTGATTTGCAGTGAAGCTGAGGGACAAAAGCACTCGCAAAATAGCGAGAACTCACTTTTGCGAAAACGAAGGGGCTGGCGGAGACAACAACAAAAACATTGTCTGGGGCTGCATCAGAAACGTCTCCCGTACATTGCAGCGCGTGTCGCTCGTTGCCCCGCAGCCGTGCTGTGATGGCACAAGTACCTCCAGAAAGCTTGAGACCTCCCCTTTCAGCACGCCAACTTTTTTTTCCCCTTACGTCCTCTCGCTGCGCAGTGCTGTGGCCGAACTATTGGTGCACTTTCGGACGCCACCCGACTGTTGTCGTTTGCTCTCCCGCAGTGTGAAGAGCAACAAGTATCTTATTTGCACTCGACATTGAGGGTGAATAGGTGAAGAGATGGCGGTTCAGAGATGTTGACAAACTTTATTTCAAACGGATCAGTTTCATCATTTGCACCATGTCAAGCATTTTGAAGTTGTGCCCAGTGTGTTGCCCGAAGAAATCTTTATGCTCGCAGTCACAGCATACTCTTAAACTTTATAGTACAGTAAAATCGAACTGTCCCATCAGCCCCAAGTGGTTATGTGGTCTGTGTGTGGGCTGGGCTGTCATCATGTCATCAGGAAACATGAAAACCAGCCTCAGCAGTCTAGAGACTGTAAGAAACAAATCATCAACATTTAGACCAAACCAGTGGGAACAATTCATGGATAGCACTACAAGGTAAGTGTGTGAAGAGTGAATGCTGGAACTGATCCAGGTATAAATACTTCTAGATTGTTATAGAGTCCTAAAGGCCTTAAGGACTTTAGCCCACAAGAATCTTTTCATACATTTTGTAATTTTCTTTGATAGTTCACTTTTTAAGTGGAAGATGCATGAAGCTGAGAAATTATCTTAAATTAAATTGAGCTGATTTTGTACGATGAATGAGCGCATTCTCCTTTGCTTGTAAAATGGAGCCTGGGCTTTCATTACGCTTGAAATTGAGCGTACTAACTTTACGCTTGAAGCAGGGCGTAAGAATTTCTGACCTGGCTTGAGTACGCTTGGCTTCAAGCGTAGGTCTTCTTACGCTTGAAGTCAAGCGTAAAAGTACGCTTCAAGATTTTACGCTTGAGGAAGGGCGTAATACTACGCCTTAGTTTTACCTGTGTGTTTTCACCACGTACAGGTTTGCGTAATTTTTTCGGCACTCCGTTGTGGTACCATCGAAGTGCGTGCCAAAGTTCCTGGGTGAGGTTACCAAACATGGATCACTTTTTAAATAATCTTCTCTAGATCGAAATGAAGTATGGGTTGACTACTATTTTTAAATCTAATATTGATGTTCACCTTACTGGTCATATGGCTACCAAAAATGGTACCTCTAACTCGAATACTTTGGAAGTTGTGAGGACAAGAAAATATGGCTATTTTCGCTAAGGTTAGGTTAGGGTGGTCCAATCATGGATCACCCCACCAGCGTACGGACCCACAGCAAGGTATGCATTCAGTAGTCCCAAAAAATCCAAGTAGTCTGTCTAAATTGCACGATGAAAATTTTTGAAGTGACTGCGGTGATTGCTTGGCCCAGAATCAGGGGTGCAAAAATCACCTTTTTGAACGTCATTTTTCCATCGATTTTCGGGGGCCTGTTTTAGGTGTCTTTCTAAACGCAACCCTGCAGAGTAGAGAGACGCAGTTACAAACTTGTCAGATTCACATTGAACAGTCAAAGGGTCAGTCGATGAGGGGAAAGACAGAAATTTATAATCTGGTCACCCGGTCTTTAGATATAGACCCCCAAACAGAAATGATCCATGTTTGGTACCCCGATCCATGTTCGGCACTTTACCCTATGTAGTCCAAAAACTTGGTCAAAGTTAGGCCAAAATTGGGTCAAAGTTAAGCACCAGATTTGACAGGCATGCCCCTAGGATAACGTTCCCAGAGGTACCACAACGTGTGCGCACGTCTTTCCCCGGCACAGATCTGCATCTAGATTTGTTCTGGCATCAACACTTTCTGAGGGTGAGCTGCACAAAAAAAAATCTCATTCAACGAACGTTAATGAAAGCAGATGATACTCGTTTAGTTTTCTTCTACGGAGTAGGAGTGGCTCATTCCAAAGATAAAAACTGAGTCCTTTGTGCCGTGGCCTGCACCGCCGCGCCGTGCCCGTTGGATTGCGAGCACCCGGTGCCTGTGCGCTGTAGTGGGGAGGGATTGTCAATGCTGCGCGCAGGCCGTCGCGCGCGAGGAGGGGGTGCCATTGTCGAATTCCGCGCAG